ATTTTCCTGCAAGAGGTGCTACCGGATGTTCCAGCTGTCGTTCGTGATCGCATGTGGTTCCAGTATGATGGTGCACCAGCCCATAACCACGTGCGGGTCCGCAATTACTTGGATGGAACATTTCCAAGCCGATGGATTGGCCGTGGTGGACCCGTTCGATGGCCACCCCGTTCGCCAGATTTATCCAGCTTGGATTTTTTATGGGGCCGTCTGAAGAGCATCATTTACGAGACTCCCGTTGACTCACTGGAGGACCTCGTTGCACGACTATCCATTGCGGCTGCAAGCGTACGCGAAATGCCTGTCGTTTTTCAAGATCTGTACCTAGGCAGTCCCGACCACGGGGGTATATAATGACTTCACAGGACTAGAGCCCGAGTATTGTACTCAGGTAGGTTCAGGCTTGGCAGGAACCGTGCTGGTACTGTTGTGTCTGTTCCTTCGGTTGTGGTGGAGCTAGATTGGAGATCGTCGACTAAGTCCCCGGGGTTTTGATCCCATTCAGTCCTCCATCATCGTTTCCATCCACCGGGCACTCCATCATCAGCTGATGGAGTGGTTATATTTAACGCTTTGCCGCACTCTACAATCAAAATATCGTAATGAATGAAATTAAACCTGAGCTTGCAACAATTTATTTTCTTATTAACCCTGCAAAGAGATCCGAGACTCTCATATATAGCATAGTCAGGCCTATCTTAACCTATGGGTCCAATAGGCACTTACCCGGGGGCCCACGAGTATAGGAAACCCACGGTAATTACATTTCATTTCTGTGAGATGTCTTCGTAGGGGCCTCAGCATTGTTGCCAGGTCGTGCGATTTTGCGCAAATTTGCGACTTTTGACAAAATTGTGCTACTAATTTTAGTATTTGCGATTTTGCGACATCCATCATTTCCTTATGCTATTTTTTGCGACTTCAAAGATTTTTTAATGTATCGTAAAATGCTTTTATTTTAAAAAAAATTATCAATTAAATATAATTCATATTAAAAATAGTTTATTTAGGCTTAAATAGAAGTTGACATATGGCAATCTTATTTAGATTAGGCTTTCTTTTTCAAGACTGCACAGCATGACGCCGGTATAACGAGAAAGGGGTAAGGGAAGTGAAAAAAGTAAAAAGAAAAAAAATGATTCGGGACCTCTCACCACCCTTCCTCGTCCCCCGTGCATTTTGTTTTTAAGTCAGCTCTCCCCCCCCCAGTTCTATGGTGATAATGAATCGAACCAAAGAACTTGCAGCTTGGGCGCCATATATTGGGTACCCAAACAGAGAAATAAATTAAATTCATACTTCTGATTATAATATTGCTAAGAACTAAGCAATAGAAATGACTTGAAAATCACAGTAGCGGCATTTTTTTAAATAACAACAAAAATAAATTTAACAGTGAAAGAACAAGGCTTTCTTAAGCAATCAAAATCTGAAACAGATCCATTACACAGAACGGAAAACTCACTGAAAGGCATCTTCAATTAAAATGCTCACAATTAAGCAAAAAACGATGAATTAAAAAAATTAACTGCCAACTCAAAAAGTTTAATACAAAAGAGCTAACAGTCTAAACGTGAGGTATCTATTAAGAATGGATATCCGCAAATTAATTTAAAATTTGAAACCTAAATTAAATGAGAATTAATTAAAAAAGAAATGATATTTAAACAATTGAAAATGAGCAACGTAGTTTTAAAAATTTCGTTAAAGCTAAGATACGTAATTAAAAAGACTAAGAATCTAATACAGTCTGTAACTTACAGAGACAATAGACGGTAAATTTGTGATGACGTCAGAGGTCATGTGAGCTGCGTAACTATGACTTCACAAAATCACGTGATCTCGGACGTCATTTGCGTCTTTTGTGACTTTTTTAGTCTGCATTTGCTACTTTAGTTGAAAATTTTCTGGCAACACTGAGCCCCAGCATAATGGTTAGCCCAGCGGTCCATAATGCTGTTAAGACGGCACTGGGCATAGGCCCTAATTTTTCCCAAATAAGCTTCCCTTTGACCCCGCCCTCCCCCAAGGGTTCTGAGAAAATGATACACTCATTTGTCAAAAAAAGCTAATACTGCCCACAGAAAACTCCTGCAGTTGCAACCAATTACCAAAACTACCAGATCTAACCATTTGATTACTAACAGAACATACATGTCCACTAAGTTCTATCAGTCAGTTTCTATCTTCTAACCATTTGACTACTAACGGGGCATACATGCCACACTAAAAGTTTAAAAATTACTGCTAGGTTAAAAAGTACTTAGAATCTTTTAAATGTTGGGGACCATTTTCCAATAGTTGGAAAATCAAGACGCTGTTGTGGTCATTGTACACAAATGAACACAGAGAAAAGAACAAATATGAGTTGCCCCAATGTGTAATGTTGAGTTATGCAAAGGATGCTTTACCCTGTACCATACGACGTAAAATCTATTTTATATAATAAAGTTTTGCAGAATAATAGGTGTGCTTATAGTATGTCGATCGCTACGTGTGGGACATATGTATCCCACCATTAAAACTACGGCTGGGTGATATGTGTCCCAGCCTTTGGCTTGAAAACCTTTTGTCAAAAAAAAAAAAAAAAAAAAAAAAAAAAAAAAATCCCAAATGATAAATTTACCTTATTTATGATATATTTTGTTCATTTGGATAGAAAACGGGGTAATGTTTTTTTTTTTTAATTCACAGTAAAAGGGTTAAGGTGAGAGTAGATAAATAGCTATCCCTAGTCAAGTGACAAACCGACCTGCTGCTTATTAATATGACGAAGTGTGATATCAAGATAGGATTAAAATTGTGGGTTTTGAATTTTTGCACTGAAAAAGGTCTATCAGAATAAGACAAAGAGCAAATTTTCGGCAGGTTTTGCAGTTTAATATCGGAACAGAGAAAACAAAACAATGCATTTGTTTAAAGTAGAAATGCACCTCCCTGCATTCCAGTGGCATGGATAGGGTGAATGATAGGGTAATGATGGAAATAGGGTGGTGCAAATGCACCTCCCAGCACTCCAATGGCTACGCCCATAGGATTCTGCCCTATGACGATAACGTAGAAGATATATAAATTATTGGCTACCTAAATTAGACAGCCTCTGTCGTCAAGCCTTCTGTACTCAGTAAAAACTGATGTAACACTCACGATAGCTGTTACACGTTGTTACTTAAAGAAGCCCAATCTTAAAATTAATTCTATTTATTGATCTCAATTTTAGGCTTTCTTTGATCAATCCTTTAGAAAAAAAAATCCATGTTTGGAATATTAAGTCTACATTCATTGAACAATATTAAGGATTTTATTCAGTTATCGTACTCAATATTCAACCTTTATTTTATATATAAGCTTATATTTTAAATCATGAAGATCAGTTCCAGAATACTTTTTTTGCTACTAGCTATCAATTACATAATGTCATGCAAACTATGCTGACTTTCTTAAGACACATTGTTACGCCATTTCGTTTTGGTTAGTTGACAAATTCGATGAAACATCACTCTATTTTTAAATGTATCTCGACCTATCTAAATTTCCTTTGCTTAATGGAAACTAATGTGTTTTATTACAGTTTCGACACTATTTTGAAATCTCGCAAAATAGGTCAGATGTTAAGCTTACATTTTAAGATAAAAATATAATTACACTTCAAGTACGCTCACTTTATTATAATATGTTGATGATACTTTCTAGGTAGCTCAATATTATTATTTACCTAATTTTTTTTCTTTGTGTACTTGCTCAGCTGTTAAATTGATCGCTGCTGGATAAGCCTGAATGGCTGCTCAGTCAGGCATATACGTAAATTGCCTCTAAAGTTTAAATTACAGTTATCAGTTCAGAATGTTTTCAAAGGTATTATGTAAGTCTTAGTGATATACTTGTAATGCGCTAGGGATTAACTTTAATCTCTCATTTGAATTCACAAGACTATTTCATGTTACCCATCGAAGGATTCAAAACAAAGTTTCAAACCTGTCTAAAACCTCTAGATCTAACGTAAAAAGTAACAGCATAAATTCACAAAAATCCTATAAAGATACACTTCTTTATCTTCGGTATTAAAGCTAAGTTCAGAATACCCTTAAAAATATAACTAGCATAACTAAAAAGTATTTTCCATTGAAAAGGAAGTAATATATTAGGAATCATATATTCAATTACATTATAAGAAGTTATCGCATTTCCTCATGCCTACTTTTCTAGTGTAAGTGAACAGCGCATCCATCTGACAAATGGAATATCAATGTTTCGAATCCTGACAAGGGCATAGCTAATTTTTCCCATTTTCTACTTAGGAATGGTTTTTCGATTTTATAATGTCTACAATGGTGTCCTAACTAAAATGTAGCGGTTGATAATTTGTCACCTTTTGAATATGGTTGTTTGGATCTCGCAGTTCTCACTCGCCCTTAAGTATGGAAGAATGCATCGGGAAAGGAATTATTGACTCATTTCACAGCACGTGTTGTCCTTGTGTAAATAGTCAGCGCAACCAGCTGACGTTGAAGATACGTGCTTCGAATTCTGGCAAGAGTATAGCTGATTTCTCGCTTCAAAAAGTCTAATAATAACTGCACTGACAACAGAACAGATGAACGCTAATTCATCACTATCTGGATTTGGTCGATTGGATCTAATGCCTATCTCCAGTTGACCTTCAATGAAGAGATAATGTAAAGAACTTTCACATTCTCCCAAGCGTGCTCCTGTGGTGTAAGTGAGATCCATATGTTGCTTTTACTCATCATTTTCGACCACAAAGGAAAAAAAAAGATTGTTTTGGTGTATTCGATAAAATCCATCTCTTAAAATTTGCCCTGACTTTATGTAAACACCCTGTATAACGTTCTTTTTATCCACAGTTCACATATCCACGATCGGTTTTGGAAGCATAAGTCGCGGATAAGAAGAAATCGTTAATTTATATAGATAAATACAATTAAGCTATGGTTTTATTAAAACATTTTTAACTTTAGAGATGGTCTTGGTATACATACCTTTATTCATAGGCTGAACAACTTTCTTTAAAATGTTATCCTCTAGTAGAGCTGGCGAACTTTGCCAATGACTTAAGCGTGAAGAATCAGTTGCAGTTACACCTCCTATATTTCGAAATGGAGAAGCCTTTATTCCCATTTCAGATGTTGCTGAATGTCTCGGATGACCCGATATGAAGAAAGGTGATTGAGATTCTTCCCTTGATTTCGGTTCTGTAAAGTACGCTTCGTCATCAAAGTCATCATCTTCTTCGTCATCAGAATGTAGATCTTTCATTCTTTGTAGTTGTTGTCGTATCGTGATCTTTTCCTTGTTTCTCCTTTTTCTCACCTCATCTTCCAACATTTTGGCAAGTTCCAAATCTCTCTTTCGACCCAAGTCTATATCTACGGGATTAGATTTTTTCTTACTGTTTTTGATGCCAAAATTAGGTCTTTGAGTTTCAATATTGGCATCAAATCTACGTCTCATATTATATACCCTACCTTTAGTGGGAGGTGAACACTCATCCTCTTTTACAAATCCACCTTTTTCGGGTAAATACATAATCTGACCCTCAGTAGAGTAAAATGAAAAGTTAGAATTGCCAGAATCGGAAGACTTCATTTGATTTCTCATATCGTTGGCTTTCGTGACAAGTATATCCCCTAAAAAATCGCTGAGATTGCTTTTTACCAGCAGTTCATATTTCTTTTTGTCTGATAGTATGAGATCCGAAGAATATTGCTTCCCCCGCTTTTGAAGACCATACTGTCCGAATGTCCAATTGGAATCTGAGACAGCTACATCTTCCTCACTTGGATATTTATTTCTTTTGCTAAGGAATCGCCTGAAGCCAGGTGCAACGCTTTGATCAGAGGTAGTATCCACATGCTTGAATGTTTTTTTCTTCGGCTGTTTATTTTTTGAATTGTCACTCATATAAGACGACTGAGGAGTACTGGATTTCAGTTCAGAACCTATAGGCCTCATGTTAGAAAACATTACAGTTGGCAAAGAAAACCTCGTAGAAATTTCACCGGGATTAGGTCGGATTCTTGGTATAACTGCTTCTTCGCTATCTTCGCTGCTAACATCGGAATCATCCATTAAGTCCTGTCTAGGAGTCCAGTGACTGTCGCTCATACTACGATGTTTAAACACGTCACTATTTCGGTTTTCATATGCTCCAAATGTCATGTCAGATAGTCTGCGAGGTCTATCTTCAGTTTGGTTACGTGAAGCAAGACCTTTCTTATATGGAGGTACAGATTCATGGCCGTCATCGCTTGTAGATTGATTGCTACTACCTAGCCCATCAGACCCTAGAGCCTGCCAAGCTTCCGATGGGGAGAACTTAGGTAATTCTGGAGGTTTCCTAGGCGGCACAGGCCTTAACCTTAAAATAAAGTATTAAATATATAGAATTATTATTAAGTACATTTCAATAAATAGTAATAATTTTTAATTCAAATATAAACATATACAATATGAATAAAAAGGCTACTAAATTTTCCGAATGCAGCGTTATGATGCTATTTTACTTAGTAATATAACTGATTATCTTATGACACGCTACATCGCTTTTACGCTAAAGGATCCATTGTTAATACGAGCAACAAAGAACTTTTAAAATATTTTTCAAGAATGAAATAATTGAATATAATAAAATAATTATAAATATTACCAGCATGGTTTAAATCTAAAAGCGTTCATCTTATTAACATGCATATTTTAAAATTTAAAAACTGGGCATAAATATTATTTCTTTCTTAAGGTTACAAAATAATTATTAAATTTTCCATCATTGTTATTAGCTTGTGTCTTAATGGCATCGTACAAACGACAATATGAGACAAAAATTGTTCTTTAGAATAGAACGCCTTTTTCAGTTTTTCTCAAAAATAAATATAGTGGCTCATATTTGTTTTCGGAAACTTACATTTTTTAAAATTTATTTGCGTAGATCTTCTATAATATTGAATTAGAGACTTCAGATGTTTTCCAATATTTTAAGATGTTCAGATGTTCCCTCTATTTTAAGCCTTGCTTATGTAAAATAAATATCAAAAAAGTATTCTGGGTAATAAAATAATTTATTCAGAAAGGGTGTATCAGTAATCACATAATAATTCGAACACTAAAAAAATTTTGTTGTCTCTGTTTGGAAGACGGTGTTTCTTGTCATATTTTTTGTTTTAAATAAAAATAAATCACAAGAATAATCAACTGCATTTGGAAATTATTATTTGTTTAGCAAAATAATATTAACTGTTAAACATCTGAATACAGCCTACAAGACGTTAAGAACTAATAACAAGTTGTGTTAGAGATTTAATAATTCATCATGTTAAAGACGGCAAAAGTGCTCAAAATATGAAAAAAATACCCTTGATGTAAAGCCTTCAAATATCTTTGATGCTATAAAACGATGCAAATTTGCGTGGAACAGTTAAAAATGCGTTTAAATCTAGACCACATCCCAAGCTAACATTAACATGAAGAAATCGAAGATTTAATCTAGAAAAAATCAAACAAGACGCAAAAATTAGTGCTGTAAAATTTGCAGCGAATTTAGAAGAATGATTTGTAATAAAAGTTAACCCTGAAACTTTGAAGAGTCATTAAGGCACAATGGTGCAGTAGGAGATCGTCAAGAAAGAAATTCTTCGTCAACAAGAAAACAAAGAAAATACGCCTGGCATTCGCAAAATATACGGTAAGCAAAGATTTATCATATTAAAACAATGCTATATTTCAGGAGTCAAAATTTAATATTTGGGTCCGAGGGACGAACTGCTGTGTGGCAAAAGACGAATGAAGAATTAAATATGAAAAAGCACGCCTGTTAAGTATGAGGGGTAGAGACGCAATGGCTTGGAGATATTCGCTGCTTCTGGGATGGAAAATTTTATTTTTATACAAAGTAATATGGATCAGTAAAAATCTACAGTTACTCTTTATGAAGATCTATAACATCATCAAAAAAACTTGGAATGCAAACAAATTCAAGTTCTACCAGGATCACGGATCTAAACATTCGCTTGTAGTTATTACGTACAATCTTCCTGTAGTTATCAAGACTTCGGACTAAATTCTATCAAACGTGTATGGAGTGAATTGGAAGAAAAATAGAAAACAAGATATTTCTTCGAAAGCTCTACTAAAAACAATTCTTAAAGAAAAATGAAACATTTTTAAGGGAAAAAAAAAAGTTGTTAAAGTCATGCCAAAGTGCATGAAAAGTGCAATTTTAATTAAATAATGTCCTGTTACTTTCACGTTTTTATTAAATATGAACTGTTTGTTCAAAGTGTCTGAATACTTATGTGAATTCATTTTCAGACTATTTTGAATAATAACATTTTTTTTAACCAAAAACGTTTTGAATAAACTTTTTCAAAACAAGCAGATTTTTAAAAATGTGGCAATATTATATTTGAAAGAAAAAGTGATTTCCCAAATATTAGTAATTGATATTTGCAAATAAAACTGAAAAACACAAGTTTCCGAAAACATATGCGAGCACCTGTATTTAAATGACAAACTAGCTCCTTCTATTGTTTATATTAATAATTTTTAACATTTTCCCTTTGCTCTCATATAATATCCTCATTTATTTAATGACTTTATTAAACTACAAAAATTCGGAGGGATTCTTTCTAAATTACCTTGTTTTATTAAAAAAAAATTGAACAAGAGGCAATCAAAGGAAATACCATGTTTAATAATTTTTTTTACAGAACAGGCCAACTTCTGTATATATATATATTTTAAATACCTTTACAGCTATATATGATTTTAAATGTATCGCGATCTGCCCCCTAAAATGTTGACATTTAACACATTCAAACTTATCTCATGTGTACCAACGGTCTCAAACTCAAATTTCATGCGGGCCACATGCACGATCTGAAAAGAGTCAGCGGGCCAGAACAACTTTTTCAAAAAATTAAAAAAAAACATTTTTAACGAAACAAAGGAACTAAAGTTTAAATTTCACATATTAAATATTTATCAAAGCGTGCATAAACAATAATAATGCAAAGGAAAAATTAAAATTTATTTTCTATCTGAAGTCTAAAGGTTGGTACCTGCAAGAAATTTTTTCTGATAATACTTCGTAATTTAAACGCATTAACAGCTAAATATTAAATTTTAGAACGATATTGTAGTTAGGTAATTCCAGTAGTGTATTGACCACTAAATAACTTACTTTTAATCGTAAACACCAAATTACTGAAGCGCTACCAGCTGTCGACTAGCAAACTAAATTTAACGACTATACCAGCGTGGAAAAGTCTTCCACCTTACTTTGGTCACGTGGCCTATAAGGGTGGTCCATGTGGTCATGCGACGTATAAACATAGAGTGGCAAAGATAATATTCATTCTACCTCTGTTTCTTCAATAGCAGTCGCGCACATAACCTCAATCCATATCTTTTACGTCTCTAAAACTGTTAAGTATCATATTTGCAACAAATACATACTGATATGCATTCGCAGGCCGCGTAAAATTGCTTCGAGACCGCATGCAGACCGCTGGCCGCGAGTTTGAGACCACTTTTGTGTACTATGACAATGGGGGCTTATTAACCAACATAATGTTTTATTAATAACATTTATTTATTGAAAAGCAGACGTAGAAAAGAGCAGATTAAAATTTATTTTATTCTCCTACTCTTGATGGGAAGTTTGCGTCTGGTTGTTTCTAACCAAGCGTTCATAATTTGATGTGTATCCACTCAAAGATAATGATAATGCATCTTAAATATGTTAATTACGATATTTAAGACTTCGTAAACTTCAAATACAAAAAATAATTCACATAAAAATATCCTTTCAAAAGAAAGGGCGAGATATAAATTCTCTATATTTGGTGATTTGGGGAACTTTTATTGATTGAAGCATTTTCACCTTCCTCTAACTATCTGGCTTGAAAGGTTAGATTAGTTTGCCGAGTTAAAATTTCATTTTCTACTGCTTTTTTTAAATGTTAAATGCGTCATATATTTTTCCGACAATATATTTTACATTCAAATTCTTTTTTAAAAGAAAAAGAGAGATACTTCATATTAATTTTGAAACTTATCAAAATTATGAAATCTGATATCAGAGTCTTCAATTACCTTTTCAGTTTCTGCAACGTATTTTTCAATGTTATATTTAAAATTTTGATATATTTATAAGTGATCGGATATATTTAGAAAGTGGTTCAAATTGTTTTGTCAAAGATCATCTTTCAGCATAACAAATTTTGTTTCCATGCATAAATTGCACTGATCATTCCAATTATTATTTTATTTTTCTCTTGCAATTCTAAATTTAAATCACCTTACGATGTAAGATTTGTAAGAAACCCTAAATCACCGAGTCACGATTCATCATTTACATTTTCACGTTCTAGATCTTGCTCTTCAAAGTAATTTTTTTTTATCTCAGTTAATACATCATGAAATCGTTGCAGAAATTTACTCACTCACCTTACAACGGTATGAAATAATAATTGAGGCTGTCATTCATTTAGATGCAGTTGTAAGTGACGCCCTTTGAAGAAATTTCCTCGGATAGAATTAACAATATTGAACACTATGTCCATTATTTATTTTGTACTTTTACTGGTTAACACTTTATAAATTCGTTTATGCGGCATATGATTGCTCCTGTTCTATGTGTTATCGTTGAATGGAATTTTAAAAATGATTATTTTGAATTTAGTGAGGAAGTTTTTAAAAGAGTTGAATACATCTACACCTCTAATCCTTTCTTCCAAAGAAATCATGTCAAACATTTCTTCTTCAGATGCATAACTTAAAATCATACACATAAAAATAAGCAACTGAGCTGTGTCGATTCATCAGAATGCAGGAAAAAACATCTATTAATGTAGTTACATAACTGTTCTCTTATATTTTCGCTTATTTTCTCAACCATAGTATTTAGAGACAATTGTAGATCTTTAACTGCAGTAATTTCTATTATGTTCTAAAATAATTCAAAAGCAAATTGGTCATTTTAAAGAAAGTTTTTTTATAAATTCCTCATCAGAAAATTATTTACCTTTTTTTCTTTTAAGTCCAAAGGGGCAATTTGCTCTGAAGGACTATCATTTTCGTTTTGGCATTTTGCGTTGGTTCACTATAAATGTCCGATTCACTTTTTAAATTGTTGCCACCAAATATTATCGCCCTGTATTATATATAAAGAAATTAAATAATGAAGAATCTACATAAATGTATGTATGTTTCTCGCATTGTGATAAAAAGCCATCCAATTTTGAATAACGTACGTTTCCACCCGAATATGGGCAGCTGGAAGCCCAAATTTGGAATTGGGAATTTGTAGTTCATATCGCGTGTTCATATTGTATTTCATATTGTGTAAAACATTAACGAATTTTTGATTAAGAAACTGAACGGTTTAAAGGCGAGCAATAGCAACACTCTACGGGGGGGGCATTCTTATCTCCAGCGCGCGGAACTATGTATCGGGAATTTTAAAGATATACTTATTTTAAAATTATTTTGTGGAAGTTTGAATGGCTGCGAATGCGAACATGATAAATAATAAGGTAATACACAAAACGTGAGGGGGGAAACCGCCCCATTGGACGTAATTAAATCTGAAAAGGTTTCACACAAAAAATTTGGGAAACCGTTTCTTTTCGTTAAATAATTTATTGAACTCTTTCTTTGTGTTTTAACATGGTTTTTTTGATGCTTTAAAGCTCAATTTGTTGAGCTCTTCTTTTTTGAGCTTTTTCTTAATTTTAAGGTTTTCCCTACTTACGTGCCTTCTGACGTGCCTCGTGAAGATCAGCTGAAATCGTCGGAAGGTCTAGAGTTTGAGCCTCAGCAAAAAAAGCATTGTACATTTTTCATGTATCCTGCTTCAAAACAAAATGTTTAACGGTTTCTCTACAAATTGAGCGTTAAGATGCTAATTTTATTTATTTATTTATTATTATTTTTCTTCCAAATTACTGTTTTGTAAATTATCTATGTGATATCTTTTACGTAAAGTTAAGAATTGCGTTTCCAGATTACCCTTTTTAGTAATGATTATGAAGGCATTGCATATTAAACTTATCACTGACACTGTAAAAAAGTAATCAATTTCTCGTTCTTTCTGAAAATACTAACTCTTCGAATTTTATGGCTTGCATGAATCTTCGAATTCTATGCCTTCGAATTTTAGGCATTTTAATGACTAATAAAATGCAAACGAAGTACGCAAGTGAATAATTTTAATTTAAAATATATAAAGAAGGTACATACAAGTACATTTTTGCCCAGCAATGGTGTTAAGAAAAATTTACACTTTTTCTAGAAACGCTTACGCAATGTTACCACTATGATAGTAATAGAATCATGATCGTTTGTTTTTCATGGCTATGAGTCTCAACTAATTTTCATTTGCATGTTTGTTAAACAAATCTTGTCGGCTATGATCTTGTTAAATATCTTGTCGGCTATGATCGATCCAAAAATCCAAAAATTCGCGATCGACTTGTTGGCCCTTCCTAATTTATTATATTATTGAATTTTACAAAAAAAAAAAAAAAAAAAAAAAAAAAAAAAAAAAAAAACTAGTTTCTGTATTTTTTTTACACATTGTGTATTTCTTTATAAAATTTTTAACTGTTTTCCAAATTCTTTGCAGCCAAAACGATGAAATTTTCGAGATTAGGATTCTAAAAATTAGGTGTGTCTAAGCTTCTGTAAATGTTCGGATATATGATTATCTGTACTATTTATACACTTATTTCACATACCGAAGATTTGTTTGGCTCTGATAACAATAATTTAGTGTATCTCAAAATCATAAAAGTATTTGGCAAACCTTTACGTATAATTTCATACTATAACTTTAAATACCTTACAAAAATGTCCTTAAAAATTATCATACGGAAAATTATGTGCATTGCTTAAGGCTTCTATGCAATAAAATCAAGAATTTGAGAATTCATTTAATACCCTCCCACCCCCCACCCCCCCAAAAAAACCGCGAAGGGATGATGAAAATTGTAAATGAACGACTGAAGTGCAATTGTGAAAATTAAAGATTCCAAATAATGTAACTAAACTAAAACTACTAAATAAAACAAAATAAAGCTTAAGAGAATGAATTAAGCTTGCGCAAATTACAGTCGAAGTATGATAGGATAAATTAATCTAAATTAATCGTAAATTATAATTGCTAGCTTGTTTTATTTCTATATTGCATTTCTAACTGGAAATTCTGCTTCAAGCAATTTGCGAACTACGCTCGTTTCCATAAATTTTAATTTCACATGTATTTTATTAAACTCTGTATTTAATATTATACCTGATATCTATGTCGGAATCATCATCTTGCTTATGAAACACATTCTTTGATAGCTTTTCCCATTCCTTTTCTGCTTTCTGCAAGGGCGTAGGAGTCGAACTCCTGCTTGGAGACTTGAATCTTCGTCTTCCCGGGGAGAACCTTTGCAAGGAAGGGACGATCTCATCTACTGTCGTACACTCCTGAGGTACATCTCGATTCCGTTTTTCATTTGCTTCGTTTTGGCTGTTACAATTTTTTTGGACATTTGCAGACTGTGTGGTTTTCTCAGACGCTGTTGAATGGAACTTTGCACCTGTGGAATCCGATTTCTGGTTAGAGTTTCTAGATTTGAAAACACCAGTGTCTGCAAAATAGAACTTTGGTGGCGAGACAGTTTTATTTTCCTTTTTGTTATCATTAGAAGATTCAATTTTATCCATTTTGGTGTCCGTGTTATCACTGCTTGCTAGTTTACTTTCTGCAATTTTCTTTGTGACAGCTTGGATTTCTTTTTGGAAAGGATCAGGTCGTTGAGGAAGATAAGAAGGTATTTTGCTTTGGCTTTCAGAAAGTTTTCTGCTGTCAAAAACTGTGGTTCTAGACGCTGGAAATTCATTTTCTTCGTCAAGCCTAATGTCTCCAGTGCTCCGATAGTTTCGCCACTTTTCGAGTGGATGGACATTTTTCTCGTAATTCGGTTTTGGTTCGTGACATTCTACTGCTCTGGTGACAGAAGGCGACCTAGACGTGCCATTAGAATTTGACGTTTGCAAGGTATTGGTCTTTGTTCTTGTTGTTACTGTCGTAGGAAGTGGTGGTGGAGGAGGGGGATGAATTACTATCGCTGGAGGCTGAGGAGCTTTAGTTTTGTTAAGACACTTGCAAGGTGAGTTTTTTTGGTTTTGTCTCTCATCTCCACTGTGGTTGTTTTGAGGTCTTTTTTCAAACTGCTTCGTTAAACTGCTTCCAGTAGGTGGAGGATCCGGGGCACGAGCCTTCTTTTTGTATTTTAATTTGCTCGCACGAACAGCAGCACCACCTCCACAAAATCGTCTGTTACCATATATGTCGGCAGTTTCTTCAACAGCATAAGAACTTGGCCCATTTCTTCGTGCTATGTCTGGATCGCTGTGAAATAAGCGGTGGTTACGGAGGTTCAGATGATGGTAGCAATCATTCTCTTTCTCAATCATTTCCGAACGCTTCCGCAAGATGCCCATCATTTCTGAATCCGTATTATCCTCCTTGTTGTTGTCATCCCGGCGCTGGCCTCTGATGGTACCTGCCGTCTGAAGGATGCTGCCGTTGTCAGTACTCCGTAAACGTTGACCAGCAATGGGTTTTGGAAGTACTCTGTTTTGTGGATGGACATATTTTGGCACTCCTCTTTGATAATGGTAGCCATTTCTGATCGGATATGATGCCTGGAGTCTCGGAGATCCGAGCACGATGGATTGCGAACTACCGTTGCCCATCTGGACATCGGAAGTTAGTTCACCATCCGATGATTCATCGGTTGATTTCTCGAAGATGACACATTTTTCTGAAAAAAGAAACAAATTGAACTGAGTATTTCAGAAAATATTATATCTGTATAATATTATACAAAAGGAACAAATTATATTTAATTATTTCTTTATGCACGCACATACATTCAAACTTAAATAATTTAAAAGAAGGACAAATTAAACTCAAAACCAAAACCCAAATTATGCATTGCAAGCTGCATTAATTCTATGACAGAATTTACTAAATTCAAAACAAATAAATCAAATTCAAATATTATGTTCAATTTTGGAGTAAAGAACTGTCGCTTGAAACATTTTGTAAATGAAAAAAAATTGTAAAAAACAAACTAGAAAATCAGAGATGTTCGAAAATCCCCAGACAAACCAACTCTAAGGAAAATAAAAATTCGTACAAAAATTAGCATACACACAAGATAAATGCGAAAAGATTGCAAAAAATAGGCAAATTAATTCTACATCTCCCGGTACCTCTTCTTCAGGGTACATCTCGACATACCAATCTCTCACAAAAAGGTACTGGGAAATATAAAATTAATTTTCCCTTATTACTTTTTGCCATCTTTTCAGACTTATCTTGCATAAAGTGATAATTTTTGCGGTAATTTCATAAAAAAACAACCGACCTTTATGAGGATTACAATACCTTTTTGCTAGCACATCTTTATGAAGATTTATATCTTTGTAAAAGAGCCGAAGTTGCATAAAAGTATCGTCACCTTTATGACGAGGTACGTTTTGTAACGGTCCTTTTGTAAGTTATTGAGACAGGTAACTTAATTCATAATGTCACTAGCAAATGATTATGATTTATACTTTATAATAAATTAAATAATTCAATACCATTTATAATTAGGGTTTAATAGATTTCACTTACTTGAGCTTGCCAGATTCTGAGAAGTTTAAGAAGTGTTTTTTATTTTTTTTTTCCAATGGCAGATTGTGAACAATTACAAATGTAACCCAGTCCATTAATCTATACAAGGTCTCTTTATTATGGAGGCACCTAATAGGTGAGCCCCCATCGCCTTTCCTATGCAGGGACGGACAATTACAACCATGCCTTCTCCGGGACTCGAAGCCAGGCCCTTAGGTCAGCTTCCCTGACCACTATACCGACTGGGCGGCGTTTAAGAAATTAAATTTTAAATAAGGACAATATATTTTTAAAAATATATAAGTAACTAAATGAAACTCATTTTGTTCTTCAACTTGAGAGTTTATAAACAGAAATAAACAAACTGCCTCTTGCGCTTGAGAAACTCAGAATTTCACTGTAAATGTTTATTCATAATATTGTAGTTTTATATGTTAGTTTGTAATGACATAAGGTTATTTTGAAGCAGTAAACATGAAAAATGAGCAATGCCCTCCCTGGGATTCGAACCCGGACCTCTCGAATATGCACCGAGTAGGCTACTGTTACACCACGAAGGCATGCACGAAGAAAGAAGAAAATACCTTATGTACTCCCCCTTTTAGGTTTTGGTGAATCACCATATCTTGGTGATTCACCAAAGCCTGGTGGTGAAGAATACCTTTTAGTTCGAGCGCCCCTGTACAGACATTAGGTTTTTATTTTTGAAGTAGGAGACTTGAGAAATATGCAGTGTCATCTCCGAGACTCGAACCTGGACCTCTAGAATAGGCGTCGAATGAGCGACCGTTATACCACAAAGACGTAGAAAAGAGAGAGAAACCTTTTAAAGGGCGACTGGTGATTAGGGGATCCAATCGCCAAAACCTGATGGTGAAGAATCATCATCCACCACCTTTTAAAACAGGCGCCATTGTATAGTAATTAAGATTTACGAAGCAAGGAATGACTATTACTCAAAACTAATAGAAACTCTTACCTTACTTTACGAACGAATTAAGAGAACGATTCGTATGATGGAATTTTCTACGCATCCGATACGAATTCAGAGATTTCAGATGAAAAAATAATTCAGTTTTCATCAGAATTAAGTTTAAATTTTCAATATAACAATCCTCTTCAACGCTTACATCTGCTATACGTTTCCTACTTAGATTGACATTACTCACATATTTTCATTTGGCACCAGACAGAAGCATTTAAAACCTGAAACCATAACCTTACAAATAAAAGCACAATTTTCTCCTGAAATATAATGTACTGAATGTTCATTTTAAGGTCCTTACACGTTTTTGGATCTATTTGACAATTACTAAATAAAAGCGAAATTCAAATTAAAAAAAGAAACTAAAATTTACAAGTTTTACTAAGCATTTACATACAATAATACTAAATGTTAAATGTATCTCTGAAATACCGTACGTAGAGCATGATGTATTTTTGCCGAAGTCTTCACAACATCCCTCAGTAACTATCAACGTAGTAACAATATGAGGAATTCATAAAGATATACCTGGGCTAGTGTGCCCTTAGAATGCCCTAAGGAAGCACGCTGATATTGTGAACAGCATCCTCATGATATCTTCAAGAAATTTTGTGCTATGTGGGTTGCGTTTAGCTATTACAACAATGAACAATTTTTTTTTTCTTTCGTCTTTTATATTGCTATTTTGTTCAGAGTCATTTCAAATGTTGTTAAGTAATCTGACAACGCTTGAATGCTTAAATGAATTGATAAACCAAATGTTACAAGGAGAAGCGAACCCTACGTCTCAAGAAATAGATATAAATGCTGCATTTAAATATACATTCACATTAAATATATTCAATTAAATCATCAATAAACTAAAAAAGTAACAAAGCCTTCAAATATATAAAATAATAGCGGATTAACATGCAGTGCGGGATGAAATTTTTAGTCTCTCATATTTTACGTATTATCTAATTCTACTGAATTATGAAAGTTTACTACATAGGTCAAATTCATTTAAAGTAGTAATTAGTTACAAAAACAATTATAACATAAAGAATGGATAAATATTTTGGCGGAATGAGTAAATAAATGATTTTACGTTTTCGAACAGAAACAACCAAAAAAAAAAAAAAAAAAAAAGAAGTTTTATTGTTATTTTCATCTTTCCTAACCTTATTTCGTATTTGTTAAATACTCCTATATATCTTTATTCTCGTTTGGTACAGAAAACATCCCAAGAATATCTCAGTTTCAAAACAGTAGAGCAACATAACGCAAGAACTGGTAAAAATATCTTGATAGCAAGAGCTTCGAAGGAATAAACATATCTCAAGCTTCGGGTTTGGCAAAACAGATGGATGAATCGAGCAATTTATCAGCGGCAGAGAAGGGCTTTTGTTTCATTGCATCATTATCTTCCAATGGAATGCACAATGGTGATGTATCGTCATCAACCCTTCTGCCTGGGCGCGTCGCATTGTGTAATCTACAACAGAAGCTTTTATTCAACTGCTATTGATGTTACGTGGTGGTAATATTATTTATGCTACAGCAGGGACGTTCACACAGCGTTTGACCTTCATTTGTTCTCGCTCAACAAACTAATGACGCTGGGCGTTTTTGGGCGACAGCCCCATCAATGGGTATCGCCTATCTCAGACACCAGTAACAAAACTGTTCAACTGGTCGCGCCCATAAAATTAAAATAAAATACGGCACAGATATCGCCTACGAATGGGATCTCATCTTCGATGGAGAACGCGATACGGAGAAGGTCTTTTGTGTCCGAATGATGAAACAAAGCTTCTCATATCTAACGGGTTCTTCAGCTTTCTATTATCTGGCTTGACCTAAAATCATTTCAGAGGTCGGACAAGTAAGGACACGTGCCATTCACTCGATGCTTGAGGCGAAATACTATGTAATACTAGATGAATGGAAGATATTCTTTTTTTAGGGGGGAGGGGGAGGATGGAATGCGCTCCACTACTGTTAATTACCACCCACGAATAGTGCAGCGACATATTTCTTACCTCTGATATGATTTCAAATAAGTAATAAAATAATTTCGTATTCACGTTATAGAACCCGTTATATCTTTCGGTGCAGGAGACGGGGAAAAAAAAAAAAAAAAAAAAAAAAAAAAAGTTTTCTTACCGGGATTTGGACTTTTCTTCTATTTGTCAGTTGATTATGCACACCCCTTACACCACAAGAACACGCAAGGGGTGTGATATAATTCCTTACATCTTGCCACTTAAAAAGTGACTGGGGCCAATCTAGGTGACACGCAATCTAGGCGAAGAAATACAGATGATGGCGAATTACCCTGTATCCTATTTTAGTTCGGGCGCCACCATAGGCATTCTTAGATGTTTCACAATAAGAAGCATGATAAAAACCAAATGTGGTAACGCTAGGATTCGAATCATAGATCTTCCAGTTGCTAAGTGGATGTATTAACCACTTACACCATGAGGGTAATGCGTGGGGCATTGTAAAATTTCTCCTGTTTGAAAGGCAGCTAGGAAAAGGTTCAAGATCCATTCCACCAAGCTCAGGCAAACATGGTGCATTGCATTTTTTCGCTTAGCACTGTAGACCATTACACATTCGGATGCAATAAACGTAAAATATGAATTGTGCCCGCATTGAAATTTTAATTATTGATCTCCACTTGCAACTGAATATGTTAACCGCTTACGTATACGATCACACACAGAAGGAACGCCGCAATTGTTTACAAAATTTGTGCAATTTACAAGAATTTAAGTAATAAGCGTATAAGGTATTTCTCCCGCCTTCTTAGCAAGCCTTCGTGGTGTAGTGATAAGCACATTCAGCACGTAATTGAGAGGTCGGCGGTTCGATTCCCGGCGAAGGCGTTGCATATTTTTCATCTTTCCTGCTTCCAAAAATTGCCTAATGTCTCTACAAGGGATCGCAGCTCATAAGCTTCTCTTCCATACGGAGCCGCATACATATATCGTTATTTTATAGGTTATTATCAAAGAATTATCAAAGTTATGTATGTTACCTCAAAAGACGCTGATATGAATGCAGTAAAATACTTCATTACTACAACGCGAGTTACATTAGGGACAGAAATTAAATTCACGTTTCCAGCGACCGTATTGATGATGAATGAAATAAAATAAAATGTATGA